ATTGCCGTACACAGACTCAGACGGCCTATATGACTGTCCTTCGTCAGAGGTCCTTAACTCTGACTGCCACGCCTCTGCTTCGCCACTGAAACGCCTCGGGCGAAAACGCTTAAAGCGCACTTCGGGCAAGGGGATCAAATCTTTCCTAGGTCTAGGTAGCGTTGGGTCGGGCGAGGGCTGTAGCGGCGCCAGTGCCGCGCCCGCGCAAAGTGAAGGGGCCAAGAGTCGTCTCGAGCCGCCGCACTGGGAGAGGTCGCCGCGCCGCCTCTCCCCGAAGAGGCGCGTGAGGGCTCAGACGAGCGTAGATCTCCTGTCTTCCTCAAACGAAAGTATCACGTCTCAAAGGTATGTATTTGTAGTAAAATCATCCCAAGACTTGCTTAAGATGACAAGACAAGTAACAAAAACAATATTCAGCAAAACACTCATTGCTCAGTAGACATTTTCTTCCAAGATTGTTTCGTGTTGGGAGACGAATTAATGTCAAAATGCCCCAAAATAGATAATGATAAATGTAATATGTAAATACATCAAAAGGAATAACAAAGAAGCAGGCATTCAGATCAAATATTAATCCCATCAAAAAAAAAAAAAAAAAAAAAAAAAGAAACAAACAGGCCAGAGTGCAGCAGATTATTATATATCCATATTACTTAAGCTCCGTCCAGAAATCCAGACATATTTCGGATAATGGGTAAATTGAATCCACAATAAAGCATGTCGCTATTAAATCTCTACTTCCACACAAGGGTCAGTGGTAATTTAAAAAAAGAGGAGTGGTAAAATATTTAATCAAAATATATATATTATCCTCAGGGTTAAATCTACTGGGCAATACGCGACACACACACACACACACACACACACACACACACGCACACACGCACACACGCACACACTTGGTATACTGCGTAAAGAAAATTCAACCAGCCAACACAAGGCCTGAAGCTTTGCATTCCACTCTGCATGGTCCGCATTTTCTTTGTGTTTTACTTTTTTTCTTCTTTCTTAAATTGTAACATAACTTGCCCATTGACATTTTGACAAAGCAATAAGGTTAAACAAACAAGATTTATCTCTTGATTTTTTCCCTCTGTTTGCTTGGTAACTCTGAACAAACTGTTGCACGGTCATTGTAAACGTAGAGTAAATGTTCATCTACTGTACCACTGAACACGCTTCGACTTCCACGTCTTGTTTGTTTTCCCCCTAAAATGAGATCGATAATAAATGGTTAGATCGGTTCTATGCAAAAAACTTGGTTATTCAAGCATGGCACTGTTTACTCCCTTACTCGCCTGTGGCACCACTGCTCTCTCTGGACCAATCAGAACTCTGCGTGCCGTCACTTGAGGCCTCCGCTACCTCACCAGAACAGTTCTCTGTAAGTGTGTGTTGTCGTAGACGTAATTAGAATACTTAAGTGCTTTTCGGTGTTCATTTCCGTTTTTTTTTTTTTTTTTTTTTTTTTTTGTACAGTCCTGTAGTTGAACATTTCGAAAAGAAGAAAAACGTAAATACATTTTTTTTCGTAGATTCCCCTCATGCGAAATGTGCGCAACGAAAGCTTTTTTTAACGGTAATGCATCCCTGTGCGCGTCTGCATGTGAATTTCCCCCTTTTTCTTGTCTTCATGTCTGCGACCTCAGCTTCCAGCAGTAGTAGGGACGTAGGGTAACTCCTTGGAGCTTCCCGCTAGAACATCTAGTCCACTCTGTCGATGATGCTTTGTCCTTTGTGTCCAAGGTGGTGATGTAAGAGACCGAGGTGTGTGCGTGTCCAGGACGTTGCGTGAGTTTGTGTAAATGAGAATGGAAATCGTGAGGCTGATGTAAGCGGGTGTTGTGGCTGTCCGAAAGGTTTGACAGGGCTTATTTGTGTCCGTGTCAAGGACACTTTATTTTTCGTATCAGGCGCAAGTATGCGTGGCGGATTTGATTGTTCTGTAGGTGTATGCTCTGTGAAGAACTAAACCTTATCAGGATATTAAAAGTACGCAGGAACGTGGTGGGCACACATTTATAATGTAAGATTTACAGTAATCTAGCCAAACCTATATATATGGTCCATATATACGCCCCCCCACACACACATACACATATATGTGTGTATATATATATATATATATATATATATATATATATATATATATATATATATATATATATATATATATATAGTATATATATATATATATATATATATATATATATATATATATATATATATATATTATATATATATATATATATATATATATATATATATATATATATATATATATATATATATATATATATATATACATACATATATGTATATATATATATATATATATATATATATATATATATATATATATATATATATATATATATATATATATATATATATATATATATATATATATATATATATATATATATATATATATATATATATATATATATATATATATATATATATATATATACAGAGATAAGCAGTATCACGATATTTC